AAAATGGAAACCCTTAAAATGATATGTCAATTAAACACAACAAAATGGAAACCATAAAAAAAAAACTGATATGTCCTTGTTTGTAGTTTGATAGTTTCTGTTGGAAAGTTGGAGTTCCTATCATGGGAATAGTTAAGGACGCTAACTACTTGTACTGTCTACCCATTGGTCCATGTAATCATCTCCAGTCTATCTAGTCGGCCAAACCTTATCAATTCAGTATCACAACAGAGCATTATTATCTATAGAGAAAAGAAGTGAGCCTTACCTCGTCGGAAAACGTTGCTCATACTGTTCAAGTCCATGCTGGGGAGACAAAGACGAAACACTTTTCAGAGTTTTTTCAAGTCATTGGAACTTTTGTGTCACACTAGATAGTTGAGAATACATGATAACAGTATTGATTGATTTGCAATCCAAAACATTATCAATTGAATTGCTGGAGATATTGTTCCACCATGTTAGACAAGGTAGAGGTAAGGTTACTGTTTATCAGTAGTACTTTGTGGTCCTATCTGGCTCAGATTCAGCTTCAGGGTGTTTAATAGTCACATGTACAGGGTTGCAGGTGTGATTGCAGGGTACAGTGAAAATCTTAGGCTCCGAGCTCCAACATGCACGACTAGTGAAATAAAACAATGAAAATGGTAATGCAATAGTATTATTATGGTCCTCTGTAGCTCAATTGGCAGAGCATGGCGCTTGTAATGCCAGGGTAGTGGGTTCGATCCCCGGGACCACCCATACGTAAAAATGTATGCACACATGACTGTAAGTCGCTTTGGATAAAAGCGTCTGCTAAATGGCATATTATTATTATTATTATAATATGGTAATAAAAAACAACAATAGAAATAGCACTATATACACATTATAATAACTGTAGTGATGAATAAATACTGTAAATGTTCATTTTGGAATTTGGTATTTTATTAGGATCCCCATTAGCTGTTGCGAAAGCAGCAGCTACTCTTCCTGGGGTCCACACAAAACATGAAACATGACATAATACAGAACATTAACAGACAAGAACAGCTCAAGGACAGAACTACATACATTTAAAACGGCACACTTAGCCTACATATCAATACATTCAACAAACTATCTAGGTCAAATTGGGGAGAGGCGTTGTGCCGTGAGGTGTTGCTTTATCTGTTCTTTGAAACCAGGTTTGCTGTTCACTTGAGTAATATGAGATGGAAGGGAGTTCCATGCAATAATGGCTCTATATAATACTGAACGCTTTCTTGAATTTGTTCTGGATTTGGAGACTGTGAAAAGATCCCTGGTGGCATGTCTGGTGGGGTAAGTGTGTGTGTGTGTGTGTGTGTGTGTGTGTGTGTGTAAGTTGACTATGCAAACAATTTGGAATTTTCAACACATTAATATTTCTTATAAAAATAAGTGATGCAGTCAGTCTCTCCTTAAATCTTATCCAAGAGAGACTGGCATGCATAGTATTTATAGCAGCCCTCTGATTACAATGAAGAGCAAGACGTGTCACACTGTTTTGGGCCAGCTGCAGCTTAACTAGGTCTTTCCTTGCAGCACTGGACCACATGACTAGACAATAATCAAAATAAGACAGAACTAGAGTCCGCAGAACTTGCTTTGTGGAGTGTGGCGTCAAAAAAGCAGAGCATCTCTTTATTATGGACAGACCTCCCCAACTTTACAACCACTGAATCTATATATGTTTTGACCATGACAGTTTACAATCTAAGGTAACACCAAGTAATTTATTCTCCTCAACTTGCTCAAGAGCCACACCATTCATTACCAGATTCAGCTGAGGTCTAGAGCTTAGGGAATGATTTGTACCAAATACAATGCCCTTATTTTTAGAGATGTTTTGGTCCAGTTTATTACTGGCCACCCATTACAAAACAGACTGCAACTCTTTGTTAAGGGTTTCAGTGACTTCATTAGCTGTGGTTGCTGACACGTATGTGGTTGAATCATCAGAATACATGGACACACAGGCTTTGTTTAATACCAGTGGCAGGTCATTGGTAAAAATAGAAAAGAGTAGAGGGCCTACAGAGCTGCCCTGCAGTACACCACACCCTACATGTTTGATAGAGAACTCCATTAAAGAAAACCCTGAGTTCTATTAGATAGATAGTACTGAATCCACAATATGGCAGAGGTTGAAAAGCCATAAAACATAACTTCTCAACAACAGGTTATGGTCAATAATATCGAAGGTTGCACTGAAATCTAACAGTACAGCTACCACAATCTTCTTATTATGAATTTCTTTCAACCAATCATCAGTCATTTTTGTCAGTGCAGTACATGTTGAGTGCCCTTCTCTATAAGCATGCTGAAAGTCTGTTGTCAGTTTGTTTACAGAGAAATAGCATTGTATTTGGTCAAACACCATTTTTTCCAACAGTTTGCTAAGAGCTGGCAGCAAGCTGATAGGTCTGCTGTTAGAACCAGTAAAGGCCGCTTTACCGCTCTTGGGTAGTGGAATGACTTTGGTTTCCCTCCAGGCCTGAGGACAAACACTTTCCTCTAGACTCAGATTAAAGATATGACAGATAGGAGTGGCTATAGAGTCAGCTACCATCCTCAGTAGCTTTCCATCCAAGTTGTCAATGCCAGGAGGTTTGTCATTATTGATTGATAACACTCATTTTTCCACCTCTCCCACTAACTTTACAAAATTCAAACTTATTTGGTTTTTTTATATGCATGAATACAATGGCTCACTGTTTGTTGTTGGCATTTCCTTCCTAAGTTTGCCCACTTTGCCAATGAAGTAATCATTAAAATTAGTTGGCAACATCAAATGGTTTTGTGATGAATAAGCCATCTGAGAGATGGAAGATGGAGTTGAATTTGTCTTTCTGCCCATGATTTCATTTAAAGTTAAAACATTTTCATAATTTCATCATTTATAACATTGCGTTTGGCTTCATAAAACAGTTTCTTCTTCTTTTTGATGAGTTTAGTCAAGTCATTTCTCAATTTGCAGTAAGTCAGCCAGTCAGATGGGCAGCCACCTATTGGCCACTCCTTTTGCCCCATCTCTTTCAGCCATACAGTTTTTCAATTGTTCATCATCACCATAGAGATTTAACAGATCTAACAGTCAGTTTCTTAACAAGTGCATGTTTATCAATTACTGGAAGAAGCAATTTCATAAATTCATCAAGTGCAGCGTATGGATGCTCCTTATTAATCACATCAGCCCAACAAATATTTTTAACATCATCCACATAAGAGTCACAGCAAAATCTTTTGTATGATCTCTTCTACACTATTTTAGGCCAAGCTTTTGGAACTTTGGCTTTCCTGGATATAGCCACTATATTGTGATCACTGCATCCAATGGATACGGATACAGCTTTAGAACAAAGTTCTACAGTATTAGTAAAAATGTGATCAATATATGTGGATGATCTTGTTCCTGTAGTGTTTGTAAACACCCTGGTAGGTCGATTAATAACCTGAACCAGATTACAGGCACTGGTTACAGTGAGAAGCTTTCTCTTGAGTGGACAGCTTGATGAAAACCAGTCATCAAACAGGGTGTGGGGGGGGGGGGGGGGGGGGGGTGAGTAGCAGTCAGACTAAACGACCATTGACGGGGGGAGTGGGGGCCAGGACGGTAGAGCATTGCACTTACAATGCCAAGAGTCGTGGGTTAGATTCCTGCTGGGGCCACTTAAGAAAAATGTAAGCACACATGACTATAAGTCGCTTTGGATAAAAGCGTCTGCTAAATTGCTTATATGATCAGTCATTGAAGTGTTGACATACTAATACAAGCCTGTAAGGGGCATCAGCTGAACATAGCAGAACAACCACTGCTTTTAGTCAGAGTGACACAGCTGTATAAAATTAACATAACGCTCTGTTCTAACTCAACTTTTTTCCTCTCAATATGCCACTAGAGATATAATCTGAGGGGGAAAACAAGACCAAGAAGTTGTTACGTGACTATCTGAGCAATTAGAGACTATTATCATGCCCACATACAGTACCTCTCCACCTCCCGCCTCCTCCTGCCCTGTAAAGGGCTGTGGTGTTACATAATGGAACACAGCCCCCGCTCACTCTCACCTCAGCGACAATGTGTGTGTGTGTGTGTGTGTGTGTGTCTCCAGTCAGCAGGGCTAGTCCCTCTTTATGCTATCAGCTGTCACAACCACTTTCCTCAGTACCAGAGGCAGCCGAGCGGCAAGCAGCCTTCTCCGATCTGGGCTCTGTCATCTCTGTGCGGCCCGTCACACAACACAGACGCACAGACACAAACACGCTCAGACAAACACAAACACACACACACACAGTGAGTGAGGCAGAGGGGAACTGATCCCTCGTTTACGTAAGTTAATTGGCCAGAACGTTATGGGAAAACTGTGTTGAGTGACACTGGGGACCTAAAACAGACAGCCTATCACACTGATGGTTTACTGCACAAGTGACTTAGGTCCCTTCAACGGCTTAAGAAACTCAGCTGTTATATACATTACATATTATCAGGACAAACTCTTAAAATGAATGAACAAGGAAAACAAAACATGTATGGAAATATTCTAAGTTATTATATTTCATTAATCACTGAAATGTTATTCAGTATGGAGAAAATGTTTTAACTCTCAAGTTGACCCTGAGGTCTTCAAAAAATAAACCAAACAAATGAAAATGGTTGGTGGAAATATAATTAGCTGTTCTAAGCACTAAGGTTAAAAGAGTACGTATATGAACATTGTTTCCAGAGAAAAGTGATATATTCTTTGGTATCTGGAAGTGTGACCTGTCAGATTCAATGAAACTCATGATCTATGACTGAGTGGAATTTCTTTGCATTCCACTGAATTAAATTCTACTTCCTGTCACTCAAACTCTAATTCTACATCCCGTAGGGGTGTGACCAATTCAATTTAGTCAATTCTAAAATTCTGAGTTGAGCACAACCCTGGTATCTATGTGTGTAGTTGGGTGTTGTTGTTGTTGTTGTTCACCTGTGAGAAGCCCGGCCCTGCCACGCTATACGGGCGCTGTTGCCGTCTGCTGCTGCTGTGTGCCAAGGTAGCGCTCTGCATGCTCTGTGCCAGCAGGTGAGACGACATGACACCGGCCATGTCCTCTCTCTCCAACAGGTCCCCTGTGCTGCTGCTCTTACCATGGTGGAGACTGGAGACAGACACAAGTCAGTTAGTTACACAGAGACTGAAATGAGAGTGTCACACCCTGGTTCTGGGGACTCTATATGTTGAGCCAGGGTGTGTAGATTCTATGTGTTTTGTGTTCTATGTTAATTATTCTAGTTGTTCTGTTTCTATGTTGGCCAGAGTGGTTCTCAATCAGAGGCAACGAGTGTCAGCTGTTGCTGGTTGTCTCTGATTGGGAATCACATTTAAACAGGCTGTTTTCCCACAGTAGTTGTGGGATCTTGTTCCTTTTGGTTTGTACCGTAGGACTGCATGTATCGTTTGTTGTTTTGTTCGTGTTATCACTATAGATAATAAAGTATGTTTGCCTTCAACGCTGCGCCTTGGTCTACTCCGTTCAACGATCGTGACAGAAGATCCCACCATACCAGGACCAAGCAGCGTGTCCAGGAGCAGGCAGCCTGGACGTGGGAGCAGATATTGGACGGGCAGGGGTCCTGGACCTGGGAGGAAATCCAGGCCGGGATGGATCGCCGTCCGTGGAAGGAGACGGTGGAGGCGCGACGGAGAGAGGAGCAACGGCGTCAACAGTGTCATCGTTGGATGGACGAGAGGCAACCCCAAAAAATGTTTAGGGGGGGGGGCACACGGCATGGGCGACGGGGCAGCAGGTGGCAGCTACAGGGCGTATTGGGAGGTTGGGTGAGGAGGCCACCAGGTTAAGGGGGCTATTGGTCCAGAGGGAGCAGGAGTTACTGGTTCAGAGGGTGGAGCTACTGGAGGCGATAAGGGAGAAGGTGAGAGTAGAGGCACGGCGAGAGGAACTGTGTAGGCAGCTGAGGGAGCGGAGGGTTATGAAGAAACCCAGTCCCGCTCCTCACACCAATCAAGTGGTGTGCGTCACCAGTCCGGTCCGGCCCGTTCCTGCTCCCCGCACTAAGTTGATGGTGCGCGTCGCCAGCCCGGCCCGGCCTGTTCCTGCCACTCGCACCAAGCCTACGGTGCGCGTCGCCAGCCTGGCCCGGCCTGTTCCTGCCACTCGCACCAAGCCTACGGTGCGCGTCGCCAGCCCGGCCCGGCCTGTTCCTGCCACTCGCACCAAGCCTACGGGGCGCGTCGCCATCCCGGCCCGGCCTGTTCCTGCCAATCGCACCAAGCCTACGGTGCGCGTCGCCAGCCCGGCCCGGCCTGTTCCTGCCACTCGCACCAAGCCTACGGTGCGCGTCGCCAGCCCGGCCCGGCCTGTTCCTGCCACTCGCACCAAGCCTATGGTGTGCGTCGCCAGCCCGGCCCGGCCTGTTCCTGCCACTCGCACCAACCCTATGGTGCGCGTCGCCAGCCCGGCCCGGCCTGTTCCTGCCACTCGCACTAAGCCAGGGGTGCGAGTCGTCTGCCCGGTACGGCCCGTTCCTGCTCCACGCACCAAGCCAGGGGTGCGCATCGTCAGCCCGGTACGGCCCATTCCTGCTCCACGCACCAAGCCAGGGGTGCGCATCGTCAGCCCGGTCCGGCCCGTTGCTGCTCCACGCACCAAGCCAGGGGTGCGCATCGTCAGCCCGGTCCGGCCCGTTCCTGCTCCACGCACCATGCCAGGGGTGCGCGTCGTCAGTCCGGCACAACCCGTGCCTGGGTCACCGGTGCCTGGTCAGGTACCGGTCAGCTGCTCCACACCGGAGCTTAAGCAATCCGCTCCTACGATATCCAGTCCAGCTCCAGCCAGCGGGGTCAGACCGGATCAGGGGCGCTACGGGGGGATGATTGAAGGGTGGTGGTCAAGCCCGGAGCCGGAACCGCCTCCGAGGAGGAATGCCCACCCAGCCCTCCCCTGTTTGGTTTATGTTGAGGCGCGGTCGCAGTCCGCGCCTTTGGGGGGGGGTACTGTCACACCCTGGTTCTGGGGACTCTATATGTTGAGCCAGGGTGTGTAGATTCTATGTGTTTTGTGTTCTATGTTAATTATTCTAGTTGTTCTGTTTCTATGTTGGCCAGAGTGGTTCTCAATCAGAGGCAACGAGTGTCAGCTGTTGCTGGTTGTCTCTGATTGGGAACCACATTTAAACAGGCTGTTTTCCCACAGTAGTTGTGGGATCTTGTTCCTTTTGGTTTGTACCGTAGGACTGCATGTATCGTTTGTTGTTTTGTTCGTGTTATCACTATAGATAATAAAGTATGTTTGCCTTCAACGCTGCGCCTTGGTCTACTCCGTTCAACGATCGTGACAGAGAGCGAGATCAATATCAATAAGAACTGAGATTATCCGATTACTCAAACGGTTGCAAACTGGAACCATGACATCCAGTAGGCCTAGATTCAATATGTATTGTGGGAGAGCCGTGCCATAGCGCGATTTACATTCTAAAGGAGATGTTTCCGCATTCACAGAGACTACATTCATGGTAAACGCTGCAAATGTCGGCTCAATCTGAAGTTACCTTTAAAATGTCAAACGCGCTATAACTGGGATCTTCCACGATATGGGTTGAATCTAGCCCATAGTCAATCAGTTTCACACAGTTAAGCCGCAAAAAAGAATTTACATTCATAGCCAGAACTGAAAATCTCTGATCTCACGAACAAATCAGCTTCAGAGAGAATGGAGTAATTCTATGTCTATTGAATAACACGTAAAGATGAGCATTAAAGGCCTGTTCCCTTACAAATACACAACACAATAGTGGCAAAAAAATTTAAACGTACTTGTTGACTCGTAGCGTGTCGCTGTCCGTCTCGGGGATGACACGTGTATAGGAGAAAGGGAACCAGCCACGCCTGATGAGGAAACAACGATTCAACAGATGAATCAGCAACAGTGATTCAACATTGACAGCAGCACCAAGAGTTGGGATACTTATGAGGTCATGTCTCATGTAAAGATTCACACTAATAACTATATTATAATAATATACGCCATTTAGCACACGCTTTCATCCAAAGCAACGTAGACATGCATGCATACATTTTCACGTACGGCTCATTGCAAGCGTCACGCTCTACCAACTGAGCTACTTTAATAATGTTTACATATCTTGCATTAGTAATCTCATATGTATATACTGTATTCTATACTATTCTACTGTATCTTAGTCCATGCCGCTCTGACATCACTAGTCCATATATGTATATATTCTTAATTCATTCCTTACTTAGATTTGCGTGTATTGGGTATATGTTGTGAAATTTTTAGGTATTACTTGTTAGATATTACTGCACTGTCGGAGCTAGAAGCACAAGCCTTTTGCTACACCCACAATAACATCTGCTAAACACGTCTATGTGACCAATAAAATTTTATGTGAAGCGTTACTCATGGTGCCTGCTGGGAATCACATGGAGTTAGGACACTTACATCTTGTTCCTCTCATTCTCCCCGTAGTGCCATCCGTCGCGGGCCTCAGGCACAAGCAGGGTGATGATGTCTCCCTCAGAGAAGCTGAGCAGGGTGCTGTTGTCCCCCGCCGCGTGGGAGAAGACGGCCTGGACACGGGTACGTCCGTTCCTCTCCAGCCCTGCAGCCATAGAGCTGGACCGGGGCAGGGTACGGGTCTCTAGACCTGGGGAGATTTTATTTAAAAAAAAATTAAACAACCTTTATTGGCACAATTGAATGTATTTCCAGTAGCTTGTGAAAGTATTCACCCCCCTTGGCATTTTTCCTATTTTGTTGCCATACAACCTGGAATTAAAATGGATTTTTGGGGGGTTTGTACCATTTGATTTACATAACATGCCTGCCACTTTGAATATGCCAAATATTTTTTCTTGTGAAACAAACAACAAATAAGACAAAAAAACAGAAAACTTGAGCGTGCATAACTATTCACCCCCCCAAAGTCAATACTTTGTAGAGCCACCTTTTGCAGCAATTACAGCTGCAAGTCTCTTGGGGTATGTCTCTATAAGCTTGGCACATCTAGCCACTGGGATTTTTGCCCATTCTTCAAGGCAAAACCTACTCCAGCTCCTTCAAGTTGGATGGGTTCTGCTGGTGTACAGCAATCTTTAAGTTATACCACAGCACAGATTCTCAATTGGATTGAGGTCTGGGCTTTGACTAGGCCATTCCAAGACATTTAAATGTTTCCCCTTAAACCACTTGAGTGTTGCTTTAGCAATATGCTTAGGGTCATTGTCCTGCTGGAAGGTGAACCTCCGTCCCAGTTTCAAATCTCTGGAAGACTGAAACAGGTTTCCCTCAAGAATTTCCCTGTATTTAGCGCCAGCCATCATTCCTTCAATTCTGACCAGTTTCCCAGTCCCTGCCGATGAAAAACATCCCCACAGCATGATGCTGCCACCACCATACTTCACTGTGGGGATGGTGTTCTCAGGGTGATGAGAGGTGTTGGGTTTGCGCCAGACATAGCGTTTTCCTTGATGGCCAAAAAGCTAAATTTTAGTCCCATCTGACCAGAGTACCTTTTTCCATATGTTTGGGGAGTCTCCCACATGCCTTTTGGCGAACACCAAATGTGTTTGCTTATTTTTTTCTTTAAGCAATGGCTTTTTTCTGGCCACTCTTCCGTAAAGCCCAGCTCTTTGGAGTGTACGGCTTAAAGTGGTCCTATGGACAGATACTCCAATCTCTGCTGTGGAGCTTTGCAGCTCCTTCAGGGTCATCTTTGGTCTTTTGTTGCCTCTCTGATTAATGCCCTCCTTGCCTGGTCCGTGAGTTTTGGTGGGTGGCCCTCTCTTGGCAGGTTTGTTATGGTGCCATATTATTTCCATTTTTTTATAATGGATTTAATGGTGTTCCGTGGGATGTTCAAAGTTTCAGATATTTTTTTTAGAACCCAACCCTGATCTGTACTTCTCCACAACTTTGTCCCTGACCTGTTTTGAGAGGTCCTTGGTCTTCATGGTGCCGCTTGCTTGGTGGTGCCCCTTGCTTAGTGATGTTGCAGACTCTGAACAGGTGTATATATACTGAGATCATGTGACAGATCATGTGACACTTAGATTGCACACAGGTGGACTTTATTTAACTGAGGCCAAGGCTGCCCCCCCTCCTGGTTCGGGCAGGCTTCGGCGTTCATTGTCACCAGAGTACTAGCTAATGCCGATCCCATTCTCATCACTCCACTTGTCATGTCTTGTCAATCACACACACCTGGTGCTCATTCCCCTAATTAGTATGTGTATACAGTGAGGGAAACATTTTTGTACATTTGCCCACTGACAAATAAATTATCAGTCTATAATTTTAATGGTAGGTTTATTTGAACAGTGAGAGACAGAATAACAACAAAATCCTGAAAAACGCATGTCAAAAATTTTATAAATTGATTTGCATTTTAAATGAGGGAAATAAGTATTTGACCCCTCTGCAAAACATGACTTAGTACTTGGTGGCAAAACCCTTGTTGGCAATCACAGAGGTCAGACATTTCTTGTAGTTGGCCACCAGGTTTGCACACATCTCAGGAGGGATTTTGTCCCACTCCTCTTTGCAGATCTTCTCCAAGTCATTATGGTTTCGAGGCTGACGTTTGGCAACTCGAACCTTCAGCTCCCTCCACATATTTTCTATGGGATTAAGGTCTGGAGACTGGCTAGGCCACTCCAGGACCTTAATGTGCTTCTTCTTGAGCCACTCCTTTGTTGCCTTGGCTGTGTGTTTTGGGTCATTGTCATGCTGGAATACCCATCCACGACCCATTTTCAATGCCCTGGCTGAGGGAAGGAGGTTCTCACCCAAGATTTGACGGTACATGGCCCCGTCCATCGTCACTTTGATGCGGTGAAGTTGTCCTGTCTCCTTAGCAGAAAAACACCCCCAAAGCATAATGTTTCCACCTCCATGTTTGACGGTGGGGATGGTGTTCTTGGGGTCATAGGCAGCATTCCTCCTCCTCCAAACACGAAGTTGCTTGGCGATGGTCTTGTAGCCCATTCCAGCCTTGTGTAGGTCTACAATCTCGTCCCTGACATCCTTGGCGAGCTCTTTGGTCTTGGCTATGGAGGAGAGTTTGGAATCTGATTGATTGATTGCTTCTGTGGACAGGTGTCTTTTATACAGGTAACAAGCTGAGATTAGGAACACTGCCTTTAAGAGTGTGCTCCTAATCTCAGCTCGTTACCTGTATAAAAGACACCTGGGAGCCAGAAATCTTTCTGATTGAGAGGGGGTCAAATACTTATTTCCCTCATTAAAATGCAAATCAATTTATTACATTTTTGACGTGTTTTTCTTGATTTTTGTTGTTGTTATTCTGTCTCTCACTGTTCAAACCTACCATGTCTTTGTCAGTGGGCAAACGTACAAAATCAGTATGGGATCAAATAATTTTTTCCCTCACTGTAAGTGTTCCCTCTGTTCCCCTTGTCTTTGTGAGTGATTGTTTGTTGTGAGAGTGTGTAGCTCGGTTGAGCTACTATTCACTGTATTTATGCCAAGGTGGATGTTTTCCCTTGTAATAGTTTCGTTTGACGCTTTGGGCGTTTGATTTATGTAAACGGAATAAACTCTGGACTTCGGTATTTTACCTCCTGCGCCTGACTCCTTCATTCACACCTCGTCACAGAATCACTCACCTGATCTGATATGGAGTCAGCAGGAGAAGACCGCATGCCTGGAGTTGTTGCAAGGGTCCAGGAACATTCCTCGATGTTGGCCAGCTTGGGGGAAGCGATGGATCGGGTTCTTCAGGTGGTACAACGCCTGGAGAGGAGAGGATCTGATCTATCGAGACCAGCTTGTCAACCGGATCCAGCCACCTACACCCCAGCCCCTGGAGGGATCCAGATATCCCGGCCACCGGCGTTTGACCGGACAGCAGCACGATGTAAGGGATTTCTACTCCAACTGGAGTTGTATTTCTCCAGCATCAGGCCGGCGCCCCGGGAGCGGGAGAAGGTATCCGTCCTCGTTTCCTGCCTTTGTGGGAGAGCCCTGGAGTGGGCCAACGCGTTGTGGAATGAGGGAGGTACTGCGTTGGAGGACAACGGGGAGTTTGCTCGCAACTTTCGGGCCGTTTTTGATCACCCGCCTGAGGGTCGAGAGGTGGGCGAACGACTGGTTCATCTGTGGCAGGGGACGAGGACCGCTCAGGACTATGCTCTGGAGTTCCGGACGCTGGCAGTGGGGTCCGGGTGGAACGAACAGGCCCTGATCTACCATTTCCGGTGGCACTTATGGGAGGAAGTCCGACGGGAGCTAGCCTGCCGGGATGCCATGATATCGTTCTCCCAACTGGTGGACATGGCCATCCGGCTGGACAATCTGCTAGCAGCCAGAGGACATCCTGGTAGGGGTCTGCCCATTCCCACTCCGGACGACTCTGACCCCGAGCAAATGGAGCTGGGGGGAGCCGCCGGTCGAGAGAGCGCAGGAGAACAGCGACAGTGCCACTCTGGTGGCACGAAGGGAGAATCCACCTCACGTCGCAGTCAACGTTCTTTTGTGCCTGGAGGCGGTAGGCAGGGTACTCACGCATCACCCCAGGTAACGAACACCCAAACGTGTTCAGAACCCTTTGTGGCGCACTGTACTTTATCTATCTCCTTTCCCGATCACTTGGTAGGTTCCCAGTGTAAGGCTGGTAGGTTCCCAGTGTAAGGCTGGTAGGTTCCCAGTGTAAGGCTGGTAGGTTCCCAGTGTAAGGCTGGTAGGTTCCCAGTGTAAGGCTGGTAGGTTTCCCAGTGTAAGGCTGGTAGGTTCCCAGTGTAAGGCTGGTAGGTTCCCAGTGTAAGGCTGGTAGGTTCCCAGTGTAAGGCTGGTAGGTTCCCAGTGTAAGGCTGGTAGGTTCCCAGTGTAAGGCGCTGGTCGATTCAGGCGCAGCTTGGAATTCTATGGACAGGGCATTCTCACACCGTCAAGGCATTTCATTGGTTCCCCTAAACATTCCACTCCCCATCAGAGCACTTGATAGTCGACCATTAGGGTCCGGGTTGGTTAAGGAAGTTACGGTACCAGTCACCATGATTACGCAGGAGACGTAATCAAGATGGCGAAGTAGTGCAGTTCTGTTTTTGTCGTGTGTCTGTAAATAGCCTGTAAATACCCTGTTTTTTTGTATTTTTCGTACATATTTCCCTATCAGACTTTTCATCCTTCTACAAAATATACTTTCCTGCAACCCGCCTCACTCAATGTGGAACGGATTCTAGTATTGACTTACCTTTTATCTAGAATCTCCAGTTGAAACTAGCTAGTCAGCTAACTAGCTACTTGCTATTAGCCACAGTTAGCGGTATTTCACCCAGAACATTGGATTTATTTTCTGCGGTATTAATTTAATCACTGGATATTAATCACCGGATATTCGGCCAGTCTGCACAGCGCGTTATCGACCCAGAACATATCAGTTTTTCTGCCGGAATCACTGAATCACTGGACCTTTAACTCCGGATTCATCGCTACCAGCTAGCTTCAACTAAATGGACGCTGTGGTCTGGCTAATCATCCTGAGCTAGGCCCATCTCCCGGCTATCTACCTCTCTGTCAACCGGACGGGACCACCTAGTGTTGACACGGAGCCCCGCCGATCCTACACGACTGGTCTGCCGACGAAATCGTCTGATGTGGTTACGACGACGTCGACCACGAAGATTCCATCTGCTAGCCCCGGCCCGCTAGCACACGCTAGCCGTGGCCTCTTACCTGCTAGTGCTTTAGCAGCCTCCGAACTATCCTATTGCTGTTCACCGGACCTTATGATAACTCAGCTATACAGCTGATGTCTGCTGGACTGTTCCTTTTTACGGTACTACATCCTGTTTATGTTTAGCCTCATCCCAAACATGGTTAGCTTATTGTTGTTTCGGTTATTTCTAATTGTACTATTTCACTGTAGATCCCCCAGCCCAGCTAAACCTGCCTTAGATAGCTCCTTTGTCCCACCCCCCATACACGCAGAGACCGACTCAATTGATGCCTCTAGTGATACTATCTCTTTCATTGTTACCCAACGCTTAGGTTTACCCCCACTTTACTCATATCCTTCCATATCCTTGTCTGTACATAATGCCCTGAATCTTTTCTACAACACCCGGAAATCTGCCCCCTTTATTCTATGTACCCAACGCACTAGAAGACCAGTTCTTAAAGCCTTTAGCCGTATCCTTATTCTAGTCCTCCTCTGTTCCTCTGGTGATGTAGAGGCTAACCCAGGCCCTGCAGCCCTCAGTATCACTCCTACTCCCCAGGCGCTATCATTTGCTGACTTCTGTAATCGCAAAAGTCTTGGTTTCTTGCACGTAAACATCAGAAGTCTACTTCCTAAGTTTGAGTTATTCACTGCGTTAGCACACTCCGCCAACCCTGATGTTCTAGCAGTGTCTGAATCCTGGCTCAGGAAGGCCACCAAAAATTCTGAAATTTCCATCCCCAACTATAACATTTTCCGTCTAGATAGAACTGCCAAAGGTGGTGGAGTTGCAATCTACTGTAGAGATAGCCTGCAGAGCTCTTTCATACTATCCAGGTCTGTGCCCAAACAGTTTGAGCTTCTACTTCTAAAAATCCACCTTTCCAGAAATAAGTCTCTCACTGTTGCCGCTTGCTACAGACCCCCCTCAGCCCCCAGATGTGCCCTGGACACCATATGTGAATTGATTGCCCCCCATTTATCCTCAGAGTTCGTACTGCTTGGTGACCTAAATTGGGATATGCTTAATACCCCGGCCATCCTACAATCCAAACTAGATGCCCTCAACCTCACGCAAATTATCAACGAACCTACCAGATACAACCCTAAATCCGTAAACATGGGTACCCTCATAGATATCATCCTGACTAACATACCCTCTAAATACATCTCAGCTGTCTTCAACCAGGATCTCAGCGATCACTGCCTTATTGCCTGCGTCCGTAACGGGTCCGCGGTCAAACGACCACCCCTCATCACTGTCAAACGCTCCCTAAAACACTTTAGCGAGCAGGCCTTCCTAATTGACCTGGCCCAGGTATCCTGGATGGATATAGATCTCATTCCGTCAGTAGAGGATGCCTGGTTGTTCCTTAAAAGTAATTTCCTCTCAATCTTAAATAAACATGCCCCATTCAAAAAATACAGAACTAAGAACCGATATAGCCCCTGGTTCTCCTCAGACTTGACTGCCCTTGACCAGCACAAAAACATCCTGTGGCGTACTGCATTAGCATCAAATAGCCCCCGCGATATGCAACTTTTCAGGGAAGTTAGGAACCAATATACACAAGCAGTCAGGAAAGCAAAGGCAAACTTTTTCAAACAGAAATTTGCATCCTGTAGCACTAACTCCAAAAAGTTTTGGGACACTGTAAAGTCCATGGAGAATAAGAGCACTTCCTCCCAGTTGCCCACTGCACTGAGGCTAGGAAACACTATCACCACCGATAAATCTACAATAATCGAGAATTTCAACAAGCATTTTGCTACAGCTGGCCATGCTTTCCATCTGGCTACCACTACCCCGGCCACCAACTCTGCACCCTCCGCTGAAACTTGCCCATGCCCCCCCCCCCCGCTTCTCCTTCACACAAATTCAGACAGCTGACGTTTTGAAAGAGCTGCAAAATCTGGACCCCTACAAATCAGCTGGGCTAGACAATCTGGACCCTTTCTTTCTAAAACTAGCCGCCGAAATTGTCGCAACCCCTATTACTAGTCTGTTCAACCTCTCTTTCATAACGTCTGAGATCCCCAGAGATTGGAAAGCTGCCGCGGTCATCCCCCTCTTCAAAGGGGGTGACACTCTAGATCCAAACTGCTACAGACCTATATCCATCCTGCCCTGCCTTTCGAAAGTATTTGAAAGCCAAGTTAACAAACAGATCACCGACCATTTCGAATACCACCGTACCTTCTCCGCTATGCAATCCGGTTTCCGAGCTGGTCATGGGTGCACTTCAGCCACGCTCAAGGTCCTAAACGATATTATAACCGCGATTGATAATAGACAGTACTGTGCAGCCGTCTTCATCGACCTGGCCAAGGCTTTCGACTCTGTCAACCACCGCATTCTTATTGGCAGACTAAATAGCCTTGGTTTCTCAAATGACTGCCTCGCCTGGTTCACCAACTACTTCTCAGATAGAGTTCAGTGTGTCAAATCGGAGGGCCTGTTGTCTGGACCTATGGCAGTCTCTATGGGGGTGCCACAGGGTTCAATTCTTGGGCCGACACTTTTCTCCGTGTATATCAATGATGTCGCTCTTGCTGCTGGTGACTCTCAGATCCACCTCTACGCAGACGACACCATTTTGTATTCATCTGGCCCTTCATTGGACACTGTGTTAACAAACCTCCAAACGAGCTTCAATGCCATACAACACTCCTTCAGTAGCCTCCAACTGCTCTTAAACACTAGTAAAACTAAATGCATGCTTTTCAATCGAACGCTGCTGGCACCAGCCCACCCGACTAGAATCACCACTCTTGACGGGTCTGACCTAGAGTATGTGGACAACTACAAATACCTAGGTGTCTGGTTAGACTGTAAACTCTCCTTCCAGACTCACATAAAGAATCTCCAATCCAAAGTTAAATCTAGAATCGGCTTCCTATTTCGCAACAAAGCCTCCTTCACTCATGCTGCCAAACATGCCCTCGTAAAACTGACTATCCTACCGATCCTTGACTTCGGCGATGTCATTTACAAAATAGCCTCCAACACTCTACTCAGCAAATTGGATGTAGTCTATCACAGTGCCATCCGTTTTGTCTCCAAAGCCCCATACGCTACCCACCACTGTGACCTGTACGCTCTTGTTGGCTGGTCCTCACTACATGTTCGTCGTCAAACCCACTGGCTCCAGGCCATCTATAAATCACTGCTAGGCAAATCCCCGCCTTATCTTAGCTCATTGGTCACCATAGCAGCACCCACCCGTAGTCTGCGCTCCAGCAGGTATATCTCACTGGTTATTCCCAAAGCCAACACCTCCTTTGGCCGCCATTCCTTCCAGTTCTCTGCTGCCAATGACTGGAACGAATTGCAAAAATCTCTGAAGCTGGAGACTCTTATCTCCCTCACTAACTTTAAGCATCAGTTGTCAGAGCACCTTACCGATCACTGCACCTGTACACAGCCCATCTGAAATTAGCCCACCCAACTACCTCATCCCTATATTGTTATTTATTTTGCTCTTTTGCACCCAAGTATCTCTATTTGCACATAATCTCTTGCACATCTAGCATTCCAGTGTTAATACTATTGTAATTATTTTGCACTATAGCCTATTTATTGCCTTACCTCCATAACTTGCTACATTTGCACACACTGTATATATATTTTCTGTTGTATTTTTGACTTTATGTTTTTTTACCCCATATGTAACTCTGTGTTGTTTTTATCGCACAGCTTTGCTTTATCTTGGCCAGGTCGCAGTTGTAAATGAGAACTTGTTCTCAACTGGCTTACCTGGTTAAATAAAGGTAAAAAAATAAAAAATAAAAATAAAAAATAAAATGTTGCGCAGATCACCTTTATGATTATTGAGTCTCCTGCTTACCCTGTAGTCTTGGGTATCCCGTGGTTAGCCCTTCGACATCCGCCGAGGCTGCCCCCCCCCCCCTGGTTCGGGCAGGCTTCGGCGTTTGTCGTCACCTTAGTACTAGCTACTGCCGATCCCATTCTCATCACTCCACTTGTCATGTCTTGTCAATCACACACACCTGGTGCTCATTCCCCGAGGCTGCATGTGTATAAGTGTTCCCTCTGTTCCCCTTGTCTTTGTGAGTGATTGTTTGTTGTGAGAGCGTGTAGCTCGGTTGAGCTACTAGTCACTGTGTTTATGCCAAGGTGGATGTTTTCCCTTGTAATAGTTTCGTTTGACTCTTTGGGCGTTTGATTTATATAAACGGAATAAACTCTGGACTTCTGTGTTTTACCTCCTGCGCCTGACTCCTTCATTCACACCTTGTCACATTCTGAAGGTAATTGGTTGCACCAGATCTTATTTAGGGGCTTCATAGCAAAGGGGGTGAATACATATGCAAGCACCACTTTTCCGATATTATTTTTTTCATTTCACTTCACCAATTTGGACTATTTTGTGTATGTCCATTACATGAAATCCAAAGAAAAATCAATTTAAATTACAGGTTGTAATGCAAAAAAATAGGAAAAACTGCAAGGCACTGTACATAGCACATTCAATATGGCAAGACAAAATCCAGAGAGAGAGAGAGCGATATATATGAAGAGAGTCAAATCACACCAAATCTAAGGTTGTGTTCATTGTGCTCCAAAGTGGAAGAAACCAGACAAGCAGGGAGTTACGAGGTTTCTAACTGTTTCTCTACAGTGTACTGTACATGAGCTTGACTAGATCTATAGGACTGATGACCAAACCTAGGGGTTGCCTTTAAATTTCAATCGTGCTGTACCGCAGAACTTCTGCGATACGGATTAAATCAAGTCCTAGGTCTTTAAGCAGATAACTAAGCCAAACCAAGTCACACAGGACCACCTGTATAGGGTACCTGCACTAAGTATAACATGCAGGACTAATGTGATATTATAACCCAACTCTCCGAAGTGACTTTAAATGCTTCCATTATCCTTAAAGCCTTGCCTCTGTCCTTCACCTAATGTGACTCTGTTTCTCCTTTTGAAACACTGTCCTCTTCCTCCCTCCTAATCCCACGTGCCCTGCTTTCATTGAGACTACAGTTCTTTAAGTGCAGGTGTACACGGTGATGGAAGGAGAGATACGGGCTAATATAAAGTAGATACAAGCCAATAGAGGGAACAAGGTCCTTGACAGCATGGAGTCAATGTTCAATTCTTAAAAAAGGTCACAATCAAGGAGTTCACTCTCCAAGGTCTCTGTGACAGAGGCTACATTCATAAAGTACACTAGTGACGTATTTTGTAATATTCTCACTTGACTACCGATATAGCGGAATACCATTGAGACCCCATAATGCATTGGCCTAGCTCCTGTACATGTGATTTGAGGGTCTCAAGATGCTTATGGAGCTCTGTTCTGCCCCCCCCACTATCCTGGTCCTCCTTACCCATAGTGGTGTTGCTCTTGGCGGGGGCGTTCTTACGGACAGGCAGGGTGTTGGAGTAGACCTCGCTGCCCTGTCTGTGGGGCTGGGAGAGGTGCTGGGGTTGGGAGGAGGCCTGGGCCTGGGCCTGGGCCTGGGCCTGGGCCTGAGCTTGGGCCTGAGTTTGGGCCTGAGCTTGGGCCTGAGCCATCTTCCCTTCCATCCAGTGTTGGTAGTCCTCCCCTCCTCCCCCTCCGGCTCCTCCGTGGGCCCCTGTCGTTCCATTCACCATGGGCATCCCTCCATCTACTCCTCCTGGTCCCATTATACGCTGTAGAGAGGGAGGGAGGAAGGAAGGAAAGTAGGAAGGAAGTAAGGAATGAAGGGAGAAAGGGAGTGAATCATGTGTTAGTTAACATTCTTCCATCACAGAAAAGCATTACATAATGTGAATCCCATCACTACTAATGAGAGGGAGACTATGTTGTTGGAAATGGGCCATGTTGTGTTGATTAAAGGTAGACTCAGCGATATGATGATGCAGATGCAGGAAGTAAACAGCAAAGTGGGTCAATTTCTACAACAACTAAGAGCGTTAAAGCGCGAGGCTCAACTTCTCTGCTGTTTTGGTCCCGTGGCTACCGCATTGTAAAGGCGTGAAGCTGACCCGTGCACATACTGTGCGTGACTGTGAGAGTGAAGTCGTGCATCTCATTCATCGCAATATCTGCTGTGCTGCCAGTGGCAACGTCATTTAGCTTACTCTATCTTTAACTAAGAGATCAATCAACTTTAAAAAACGGAACTACTAAGCAGCACCACTACACAGCCACAAATAATCCCAACCGCCAGTCTTCAATGTGACTGGACCGAAGTTATTGTTGAAAGACATTTCAATACACATCATCACAAAACAGAATGATTAAGGACAGTCAAGAGTTGCTTTGGGATCGGTGTGAAGATACTATCCACTTCAAAGTGTTTCTACTCTGAGAATGTTACACAATACTAATAATACTACTACTAATAATAATAATAATCTCCTCTTCCTCCCTCCCTTTAAGGCAGCCCTTTTTTTCACTAATTGGTCTTTTGACCAATCAGATCAGCTCTGAAAAAGATCTGATGTGAAAAGATACCAATTAGTGGGAAAAAATATCAGAATCTGGCTGCCTGTGTAAACACAGCCTTAGAGGCTTCCTCACAGATATTACTGTAATTCACACACATGAGCGCAGGCACACACACACAAACACGCACGCACGCACGCACGCACACACACACACACACACACACACACACACACACACAGGGTGTGAAACAACCAACAGCCCAACAGACCCAAGGAATCTGTTTCTGTTCCTTCCTACAGGCATTTTCTATTAGCATGCAGCACTAACGACTTCATTTGCATCAACAAGTGTGTGTGTGTGTGTGTGTGTGTGTGTGTTTGCGTGTGTGTGTTGAGGCATCAGGGAGGGGTTCTGAGGGCTTCTGTGTTCTAAAAGGAGAGGCTCCAAGAGATTCCATAATGGAATTCCAACATCCTGAGGCATCGCTAGGCAACCCTGGGGCATTGCTAGGCAACAGACTAGCTGGTGGTGTTTATTAAGGAACGTCGTTAGAGCCGCAGCCCACAAACCTGCTGCTGGCCCCAACACTCAAGAGTACTCCCTCAAACACCAAGGCAACACACACAGCGCTTCAAAGCTTCATAATCCAAAACACAATTAGTGATGATAAGCAAAAATGGATGCCTGCAGCACCCAATTAGCTGAATGTTTCTCCAATAGTGCTGAAAAACCATAGCAACTCTATACCTCACCATTGGGTCATATTGTAGTAATATATGTGTACTATCATAGTAATAACACAGTGCTATCACAGTGCTATCACAGCAATATCATAGTAATACCACAGTAACGGTGACCCACCTGTTGGCCCATGAGGGCGGCCAGCTCGGGGGGTACAGGCAGGGGTTTGGCGCCGGGAATGGGGTCAGAGATGAGCAGGTTGCCCTTGGAACCATGGTGGGTGCGGGAGCCCGTTCCCAGGGTACCCCCTGTAGAGGTCATCTGCTGGGCCAGGAGCATGGCACGGTCAGGCAGCTTGGTAGGGTCAGCACACGCCTGCTGCCATGCTGGGATCTTCTGGGCTAGCAGGTCCTTACCCTGGAGAAGACAGGTAAATAAACACAAAGGGAGAGAGTGGTGAGACACTGTGTGGTGGGGGGGATTGAACACTGATATTTTCTGGTGAGAGAAGAGTGAAGAGTGAGTAACAAGGTGTTCCTTTGAATCTGGTCAAACGTTAAGTGTATTTATACCTAAGGTGATATTCCAGAAGAGTATAGGGTTATAGAGTTCAGGAGAAACTGCAAACGACATTATCTGAGGTAGTTGAGTCAGCCTAGGCGGGAGAGCATGGGCTCCTGGAAAGCAGGTGTCAGTGTGTGGGATCTCCAGCTCAAGTATCACATCAGAGAGAGAGAGCGAGAGAGCAAATACCTGACCACTGTGACTGACCCAAAATTAAGGAAAGCTTTGACTATGTACAGACTCAGTGAGCATAGCCTTGCTATTGAGAGAGGCCGCTGTAGGCATACCTGGCTCTCAAGAGAAGACAGGCTATGTGCACACTGCCCACAAAATGAGTTGGAAACTGAGCTGACCATATACAGTTGAAGTCGGAAGTTTACATACACCTTAGCCAAATACATTTAAACTCAGTTTTTCACAATTCCTGACATTTAATCCTAGTAAATATTCCCTGTCTTAGGTCAGTTAGGATCACCACTTTATTTTAAGAATGTGAAATGTCAGAATAATAGTAGAGATAATGATTTATTTCAGCTTTTATTTATTTATTTCATCACATTGCCAGTGGGTCAGAAGTTTACGTACACTCAATTAGTATTTGGTAGCATTGCCTTTAAATTGTTTAACTTGGGTCAAACGTTTCGGGTAGCCTTCCACAAGCTTCCCACAATAAGTTGGGTGAATTTTGGCCCATTCCTCCTGACAGAGATGATGTAACTGAGTCAGGTTTGTAGGCCTCCTTGCTCGCACACGCTTTTTCAGTTCTGCCCACACATTTTCTATAGAATTGAAGTCAGGGCTTTGTGATGGCCAGTCCAATACCTTGACTTTGTTGTCCTTAAGCCATTTTGCCACAACTTTGGAAGTGTGCTTGGGGTCACTGTCCATTTGGAAGACCCATTTGCGACCAAGCTTTAACTTCCTGACTGATGTCTTGAGATGTTGCTTCAATATATTCACATAATTTTCCTTCCTCATGATGCCATCTATGTTGTAAAGTGCACCAGTCCCCCCCCACCACAGCATGATGCTGCCACCCCCGTGCTTCACGGTTGGGATGGTGTTCTTCGGCTTGCAAGCTGCCCCCTTTTTCCTCCAAACATAACGATGGTCATTATGGCCAAACAGTTCTATTTTTGTTTCATCAGACCAGAGGACATTTCTCCAAAAAGTATGATCTTTGTCCCCATGTGCAGCTGCAAACCGTAGTCTGGCTTTTTTATGGCGTTTTTGGAGCAGTGGCTTCTTCCTTGCTGAGCGGCCTTTCAGGTTATGTCGATATAGGACTCGTTTTACTGTGGATATAGATACCTGTTTCCTCCAGCATCTTCACAAGGTCCTTTGCTGTTGTTCTGGGATTGATTTGCACTTTTCACACCAAAGTACGTTCATCTCTAGGAGACAGAACACGTCTCCTTCCTGAGCGGTATGATGGCTGCGTGGTCCCATGGTGTTTATACTTGCGTACTATTGTTTGTACAGATGAACGTGGTAGGTTCAGGCATTTGGAAATTGCTCCCAAGGATGAACCAGACTTGTGGAGGTCTACAAAAAAATTTCTGAGGTCTTGGCTGATTTCTTTTGATTTTCCCATGATGTCAAGCAAAGAAGCACTGAGTTTGAAGGTAGGCCTTGAAATACATCCACAGGTACACCTCCAATTGACTCAAATTAGGTCAATTAGCCTATCAGAAGCTTCTAAAGCCATGACATCATTTTCTGGAATTTTCAAAGCTGTTTAAAGGCACAGTCAACTTAGTGTATGTAAACTTCTGACCCACTGGAATTGTTATTCCGTTAATTATATGTGAAATAATCTGTCTGTAAACAATTGTTGGAAAAATTACTTGTGTCATGCACAAAGTAGATGTCCTAACTGACTTGCCAAAACTATATTTTGTTAACAAGAAATTTGTGGAGTGGTTGAATAAAGAGTTTTAATGAATCCAACCTAAGTGGATGTAAACTTCCGACTTCAACTGTATATTAGAGACACATATTTCCCTCAGATTACACAGACCCACAAATAAATCCAATTTTGATCAACTCATATATTAGGTGAAATACCAGTGTGCCATCACAGCAGCAAGATGTGTGACCTGTTGCCACAAGAAAAGGGCAACCAGTGAAGAACAAACACCATTCTATATACAACCCATATGTATATTTACTTATTTTCCCTTTTGTACTTTTGTGAGTGTAATGTTACTGTTAATTTTATATTGTTTATTTCACCTTCACCAAGCCAATAAAACCTTTTGAATTGAAAGCGAGAGTGAGAGCATCACCTCTCTGCCATAGCACCAAACTAAAACATCCTTCTCTCTCAGCTCTGACAGCTCTTCTCGGTGTTGGCCTGGGGAGCTGAAGCAGCCTCATTACCAGTCTAGCAGCCATTTCGTCTCAAATCTGTCCACCAGCAGCCTCCCTCCCAGGATTATAGCACTCAAGGCAGAGGGGCGCTGCCCGCGACATCATCTGTAGAACTCAAAAGGGTTCTACTTTGAACCAAAAGGATCTCCTGAGTGGCGCAGTGGTCTAAGGCACTGCATCGCAGTGCTAGCTGTGCCACTAGAGATCCTGGTTCGAATCCAGGCTCTGTCGTAGCCGGCCGCAACCGGGAGACCAATGGGGCGGCGCACAATTGGCCCAGCGTCGTCCAGGGTAGGGGAGGGAATGGCCGGCAGGGAGGTAGCTCAGTTGGTAGAGCATGGTGTTTGCAACGCCAGGGTTGTGGGTTCGATTCCCACGGGGGGCCAGTATGAAAAAATTAAATAATGTATGCACTAACTGTAAGTCGCTCTGGATAAGAGCGTCTGCTAAATGACGTAAATGTAAAATGTAAATGTAATTCTACCTGAAAAAGGGTTCTTCAAAAGGGTTCTCCTATGGGAACAGCGGAAGAAACATTTAGGTTTTAGATAGCACCTTGAGTGTGCCCATTGACACCAAATAAGTTTGACTGTCAGACATTATTTATCGAAGTGACATATCCTTCCATCTACAGTATGTTCCTCTTGGTCTCTGTACATAGCCTACTTAAAGCTATGTTTCTCTCCATGTTTTCTTCCACCTTATTGCTTTCTGTGTAGCAGTCAGAGTGTTCCTCCCTGGTCTCTCTCCGTTGGTGGGCTGGGAAGCGGTGCCAGGAGGGGACTAAGCTCCCAGGTGGTAGCATCTGCTAGGTATATGTAGTGTGTGTCGTGTTGGTGGAAGTGTGACCTCTGGAGCTCCATGCCAGAGAGATGATCAACTCCAACGGTCTGCTTCTTCATCTTATTTCACTGTATTCCTGTTCCTCTACTCCTGCTCTGTCACCACAGGACAATTCCTGCTACCTTAATTATGTGTGTTGTATACACGGAGGGCACCACTATTCTGTACTGTGTTGGAGTGTTCTACAGTGTGGGGGAGGGAGGGAGGGAGAGAGAGAGGGTCCTCTCTTGCCCACCTCTTCAATATGTACTCTCGTTCTGTCTATGTCTCTCTACAATCTCTTGTTCTCCATATTTCCCCTCACACAGAATATTCACTGCCTCTTTCGAAATTGCTTCGAAACACAAATTCTCTCCCCTTTCTCTATTACTCTCCTCTTTCTCTATTACTCTCCTCTTTCTCTATTCCTCTCTCTCCTCTTTCTCTATTCCTCTCTTCTCCTTCTCTTTCTCTATTCCTCTCTCTCCTTCTCTTTCTCTATTCCTCTCTCTCCTTCTCTTTCTCTATTCCTCTCTCTCTCCTTCTCTTTCTCTATTCCTCTCTCTCTCCTTCTCTTTCTCTATTCCTCTCTCTCCTTCTCTTTCTCTATTCCGCTCTCCCCTTCTCTTTCTCTGTTCCTCTCTCTCTCCTTCTCTTCTATTCCTCTCTCTCCTTCTCGTTTCTCCCTGTTATCCTCTGTCTCCTTCTCTTTCTTGTTCTCTCTCTCTCTTTCCTTCTCTTTCTCTTTTCTCTCTCTCTCCTTCTCTTTCTCTGTTTCCTCCTCTCTCCTTCTTCTTCTCTTCTTCTCCTCTCTCTCTCTCTCCTTCTCTTTCTCTATTCTCTTCGCCCTCCTCCTGTCTCGTTTCTCTGTTCCTCTCTTCCCTTCTCTTCTATATTCCTCTCATCTCTCCTTCTCTTTCTGTTTCCTCTCTCTCTTCTCTTTCTCTCATTTCCCTCTCCCCTTCTCTTTCTCTGTTCCTCTTTTCCTTTCCCTCTTCCTTCCTTCTCTTTCTTTTTCCCTCTTTCTCCTTTTTCTTTCTCTCTCTCTATTCTCTTATCTTCTCTGTTCCTCGCTCTCTCCTTCTCTTTCTCTGTTCCTCTCTCTCCTTTTTTCTCTGTTCCTCTCTCTCTCCTTCTTTCTCTGTTCCTCTCTCTCCTCCTCTTTCTCTGTACCTCTCTCTCTCCTTCTCTTTCTCTGTTCCTCTTTCTCTCCTTCTCTTTCTCTGTTCCTCTTTGTCTCCTTATCTTTCTCTATTCCTCTCTCTCTCCTTCTCTTTCTCTATTCCTCTCTCTCTCCTTCTCTTTCTCTGTCAGCACATCAGTATTGTCTATAGACAGTCAGCCCACACATTCTCCCCCTGGTAATTCACATCAGCACTAAGTGTACTTGTGGAAGTGGGACACTGTTCACACTCTTCCCTTCCTATCCTTTTGTCCCTCCTCCTCTTCACCTCTTTTCCTCCCACTGCTCAGTCTCTCAGCCTTGCTCCAAGGCTTGAGATAAACAAAGCAGAAAGGGAACTCCCACTTAACCAGGACTTGGACTATGAAATCTCCTGAATAAAGAGACTATGTGGCTGCATTGATGTGTGAGAGCGACCGTGGCATGATTGGCAGTCTTTAAGCAAAGCCACTGGACGCAATGGCTAAAGCCAGAC